TGCTATACTTTGTTTAAGCAGAATCCACATTTTAACCTCATAAACACAGCTTTCTTTCCATGCCATGTGGTCCAACTCTCACACCAACCTTAATACTGGAGTATAGTAGAAATAAGTTGCTGAAATTAGTTTAAATTATCTTCCAACTTGATTTGCATTTAAATGATGGTGATATTTTTATAATCATAGGGTAAAATATATCAGATAAACTTTCAGATATTACAAACAAAAAAGTAAGCAAAATACGGATACAAAGACATTTTTGTTTGTTTAATGTTGATGCAGGATCTTGTTATGGAGTACAGGCTGGCCTTTAATTTCTTATCCTGTTGCTTCACTCTCCTGAGTGGTAGGATTAAAGGCATTGGTCACCACAACCAACTCAAAACCAACTCTATCTAAATGTATTTCCTACTGCCATTTGTAGTAGTAAATGTAACAATCTTAAACAACTGACTACTTGTGAAATCTTTCCTTTATAAGATGATTGGAAGGCACTGAGTTATAAACAATTATAAAATAGGATCAAAGCAAACACTGGTACCAAAAAAACCCAGGTGTACTAATATCTCTATAAGTGAAAACAAGAAGGAATGCTATGAATGGTCTGTTGTATAGGCAAGGCAGCATATTTTTAGTGTCATAAAGGAAATTTATTTTATGGGATATTAAATGAAAGTTTTATGCTTTATTAATTTTCAAGAAATATGTTTTGTGTACAAGAAAACAATAGAAGTTTAAAAAGTAAAAATGGATTCCTACTCTAATAATAAGTTGCATTTGAGGAATTTTAAAAATATGTATGTAAGTCTTTTTAAACATGTGTATATGAAAAGTAATCCAGGTTATTTTTGAGTGACAAAATTTTTTTTTAAATAAACAGCAAATGAATTTTCTGGAATGAAAACACTCCTGCACTCAGAAAGTAGGACAAAACAAAGAACATAACCTCCATTTCAGGTATTATTTTGTGGGCTTCAACAAAAATTGACAGACAACATGATAGGGTAGTTTTTCATATTTTTTTAACATCTAAGTGTAATCAGTTTTTATTTCTTCTTAAAACTCATTTTTTGGCTTTTTTTTCATTTTGAATAAAAGGTGCTTTTTTATTGTTTATTCATATGTGCATACATTGTTTGAGTCATCTTTCCTCCTTGCCCCCTACCTCCTTCCTTTCCCTCTCACCCCTTTGCTTCTGGGCAGAACTGGTTCTGCCCTCTTCTCCAATTTTTTTGAAGAGAAAACATAAGAGATAATAAGAAAGACATAGCACCTTTGCTAGTTTGAGATGAAGGTAGCTATACAGGAGGATTCCTAGCATTGCTTCTATGCACATGTGTATTACAACCCCGATTGGTTCATCTCCACCATATTACTTTATTTGCTCTTCTGCAGTAGGCACATCAAACACTGTGAAGTTTTGGGTTTCCTCCCTTTCCCTATCCTTCCTGTACACATTCTCTCCTTAGTGTGTGACCCATGTCCAATAATATTACAGCATTTGTTTTAGGTCTAAAGTCCATATATGAGAGAGAATATAGTATTTTTGGCCTTCTGAGCCTGTCTAACTTTGCTTAAGATGATGGTCTCCAGTTTTACCCATTTATTTGAGAATGACAAAATTTCATTCTTCTTTGTGGCTGAGTAAAATTCCATTTTCTTAATCCAATGATTGGTAATGGGGCAACTTGGCTGTTTCCATAACTTGGCTATTGTGAATAGCGCTTCAATAAACATGGCTGTGTAGGTGCCTCTGGAGTAACCTGAGTTACATTCCTTTGGGTATATCCCTAGGAGTGGGATTGCTGGATCCTATGTCAGAACTATGCTTAGTTTTTGAAGAAGCCTCCATATTGTTTTCCAGAGTGATTGTACTAGCTTACATTCCCACCAGCAATGTATGAGGTTTCCTTTTTCCCCACATTCTCATTAACATTTGTTTTTGGGGGTAAAACTTTCATTTTATAATGTAAAATTTTTTACCACTATTTTATGTGATGAAACATTTTCACTAATGTATATAACCTAATAAACAAATATACCATATGCCATTTATAAGACAGCTAATGCTATTGTAATTATTTTTACTAACTTGAGGTATACTTATGCAGTTATTTCACTTGAGTGTAAAATAAGGAAAGAATTTTTGTGTCATAAAGAATAATACCTACTCCCAAATCCTTTCCCAATTAAATGCCAATTCAGCCTTCTATACCCAATGTGTAAGAGCTATCATTGCTATACACACACAATAGTGCTTGAAAATAGTGTAATCATTTTCATTTCAGTCTTTCTTTAGTAGATTTCTGGAACTGCTTTGAAATGCTGGTGGTATCACAATACATGACCTCAAACTATATTACAAAGCAATAACAATAAAAAAATATGGTACTGGCACAAAAACAGATATGAACACCAGTGGATCAGAATAGAGGACCGAGATATGAATCCACACAGATATGCCCACCTTGTATTTGACAAAGGCATCAAAGACATACAATGGAGAAAAGGCAGCCTCTTCAACAAATGTTGCTGGGAAAAGTGGTTATCTGCCTCCAAAAAACTGAAACTAGGTCCATACTTATCACCCTGTACTAGTATCAACTAAAAATGGATCAAGGACCTTAATATCAGACCCAAAACTCTGAAGTTAGTAGTTAGGAAAGAGCAAGGAATACTCTGGAAATCAATAAGTTCTGTTGACTTCCTCAATAGAACCCTGGCAGCTCATTAACTAAGAAAAAGGATGGAAAAATGGGACTATATAAAATTAAAAAGCTTCTGCACAACAACAACAAAATTGGTCTCTAAACTGGAGACCACCCACAGAGTGGGAGAAAATGTTTGCCAGAAGCACATCAGACAAAGGACTGATAACCAGAATATACAGGGAGCTCAAAAAACTAAACTCTCCTAAAATCAATGAACCAATAAAGAAATGGGCAACTGGACCTAAACAGAACGTTTTCAAAAGAAGAAATCCAAATTGCCAAAAGACACATGAAAAAACGCTCACCATCTCTAGCCATAAAGGAAATGCAAATCAAAACCACACTAAGATTCCACCTCACCCCGGTTAGAATTGCTATCATCAAAAACACCACCACCAACAGGTGTTGTCGAGGATGTGAGGAAAAAGAAACCCTCATATCCTGGTGGTGGGAATGCAAACTAGAGCAACCACTCTGGAAAATAATATGGAGGCTTCTTCAAAAACTAAGCATAGATCTGCCATATGATCCAACAATCCCACTCCTAGGGATATACCCAAAGGAATGTGACTCAGGTTACCCCAGAGGGACCTGCACACCCAAGTTTATTGCAGCGCTATTCACAATAGCCAAGTTATGGAAACAACCAAGATGCCCCACTACTGACAAATGGATTAAGAAAATGTGGTATCTATACACAATGGAATTTTACTCAGCCATGAAGAAGAATGAAATCTTATCATTCACAAGTAAATGGAACATCATCCTGAGCAAGGTTAACCAGGTTCAGAAAAACAAAAATTATATGATCTCCCTTATATTTGGACTTTAAATCTAGGACAAAGGCAGCAATATTGTTGGACTTGGGTCACATGCTTAGGGGAGAGCACATATGAGAGGAATGGGGATAGGTCGGAAATCCAAAACTTGAAAGTGTTTGATGTCCCCACCGCAGAGGAACTAATACAGTAACCTTAAAGTGAAAGAGGTCAATATGGGAAGGTAATCGGGAAGTAGTGAAGAGTTCAGGTCGAGATGAATCAATGTGGGTTGTAATACAATTGTGCATGGAAGCAATGCTAGGAATCTATCTGTATAGCTATCTTTATCTCAACTAGGAAAAATGCTCTGACTTATTATTGCTTACATCTTCTCTTCAACAAAATTGGAGAAAAGGGCACAACAGGCTCTGCCTATAATTAAGGGGGGTTAAATAATGTAATACAATTGGAAGGACCTCAGAAAATACTGAAATAACTAATAATATTTCATGTTACACTCATAGATTTATTTATTAATATAAGTACCTATAGGGGTAGCTGTTTGGAATGAAATAAAAACCAGTTGAAATAATTGAAAGCAAATTACTTTTTTGAAATAATTGCAATGGAAAAAGAAATGTCTGCAATATGAACCCAAATGAGCCATGTAGGAGTGTAGTTACATACCACGTGTTCTTATAGGAAGTTAGTAGGAAAAGAGCTAAGAACGTGTTATGTCTTTTTATAATTCTTTTGAAAGAATTCCAGATTAGTGCAAGCAGTGAAATAAATCTAACATAATTTTTACTGATACTATTAACTCTCTAGCTTTTGACAGGATTTTATAGTAGTGCACAGAAACATTTATCAATTCTGTCAATTCACTTATTTAAACATCTACTCAATAAAGCACATATTAATTAATTACTACAAGAAACCATATATACTGTAGTGTACATACATATACCATCGAATTAAATACAAATGTCAGAAAATATAGATGTGGACATCTGGGTAAAGAATTTTCTGTTAGTCTGGGTTTGGTAGCAGACTCTTGTAGCTCTAGCTTCTGTCCTAGGGAGTTGAAGGCATTAGGATACCAAACACAAGGACAGCATAGGCTAAAACAAAACAAAATAAAAGTGCTGGGGGCATAGGTAAAGTGGAGAGTGCTTGCCTAGCATGTCAAAGACGCTGAGTTCAATAATCCACACTGTAAAATAAATAAATAAATTCACCTAAGTTTAAGCAACAAGATTTAACATTGAATTCTGCTTATCTATTTACAGAGAAAAGATGAAACATTAATATTATACTCATGGAAAAATATTTTCCTCTGGTACTTTTTTTGATGGTACATGATTTACCTAGTACACATCCAAAACAGACTAAATTTCATACTAAAATTTAAATGGAATGTAACTGTATCACAAGTGGGAAATAATTCCCTTCCCAAGGTGAGTAAGTAGAAAGTCAAAATGTTTCTTTGATAACTATAAAAATAAAACAATTCCATGTAAACATGTCACAATGTTTTAAGTAGCAATTTTCTCAGAGCTGCAATCATCTGCTTGTTCCTAAGGCTATATATCATCGGATTAAACATTGGAGTTAAGATAGTATAAAAAAGAGAGAGCAATTTGTCAGTTATTGCAGAATGAGTGGATTTTGGCCATAAGTAGGAAATGCTAACAGATCCATAAAATAGAACCACAACCAGGAGGTGGGAAGAACACGTGGAGAATGCTTTAGCACGTCCTGTGGCTGTTGGCAACCTCAAAATGGTGGAAATGATTTTGCTGTATGAAGCAAGTATCAGCATAGAAGGGATTACAGCAAACAACGTAGCTACTGCATATACAAACAGCTCATTTATAAACGTATCCCCACAGGCTAACTTGAGAATGGGGGGTATGTCACAGAAGAAGTGGTCAATTTGGTTAGAATTACGGAAATGCAGCGAGAATATTTTACACGATTGCCCTATCTGTACAGGCATTCCGCCAAGCCAGGAGCCAGCTGCCAGGTGGATGCATTTCCTTGGGTGCATGACCAGAAGACAGTGCAGAGGGTTACAGATGGCCACATAGCGGTCATACGACATCACAGCCAGTAACAAACTTTCAGTGGCTGCCAATATAAGGAAGAAGCACGTTTGAGTGTCACAGTGTAGTAGAGAAATGCTTCTGTCTTGAATTGAAATACTGACCAGAATCCTGGGGACAGTGACTGACACATAACAAATTTCCAATGAAGAAAAATTTGCTAGGAAAAAATACATGGGTTTCTTCAGTGCAGGGTCAAAACTTGTTATTATGATTATGAGGCTGTTTCCAATTAGGATAACTATGTAAATGATAGAGAACACTCCAGATAGGAATCCTTGAAGGTTTGGAAGGTCACAGAATCCCAGCAGGACAAACTGCTTCACTGTGGATGTGTTGTTTTCTCTTCTGATCTTTTCACGGTTCATCTGTGGGAATTATTTCATCAGAAGTACAAGTCACTTCACTATTCTCAGTATTTTATTTCCTGTGTATAAACCAAGGACAGCAAATATTCTTGTGTGCCAAATGAGTAAAAAGAACAAAAACTGTACACTTCACTTATAGAAAAAAGCAGAGTTAAGTATATTTTTCATTATCACTAAGTATTCATATGACATTTTAAGCCTTTTTAATATTTCTAAGAGTTATTCGACTTATATATTTGTAATGATGTGATACTGTTTTTAATCGTGCTATTAATTTGAACACCCAGATTTCAAAATCTAAGTCTATGATCAATATAGTAATGATTCTGAATTTGCCACATGTGGCTTTCCTTACTTCTCCAAACTGTTTTCTGTAATTATTAATTCAGAGATTTCATGGTACAAGTTAATATTTTGTATGCTATCTTAAATATTTTCAGAAAAAAATACAGTTATTTTTGTCACAATCTTATGCTATTTTGAATATCTCACTTAGTTTTGATGTCCCTCATAACTAGATAATTTGTTACCAACAAATTTATTCAATCATCAAACATTCTAGAATAGTACTCAATTTAAATTTGAATATCATGTAAGATCTATGATATCAGCAGAAAAATATATTCAAGTTTTGGGCAAAAATGAAATATAAAATATAATCTGTCTCTGAAAGCTCAGAAGGCATCTGTACACGTGAATTACGTGTATTATTTTAAAAAGGAGTATCAAACACAACTCACAAAATTTAATAATTTGTTGAGCACATTACTAAAAAATGAACTTTGTTTTTTACTTGGAGTATTCCCTAGGGTATTATTTTTTCAAGCCAAAGTGCAGATCTGATTGCCCTGTATCTGAGTAAGAATGTATTGCCTGCATGTCTGTGTACATGTCCATAGGGTGAGTGGGTGGCTGGAAGTGAGGGTGTGCAACAATTGTACTTTCAGTCTCTCTAATAGAAGTACCATTTCATCTCCTTGCTTCTGTTACGAGCTACATCACATTCCTATTATGTGATAAGTAATAATTAGCTGCAAGGAAGAAACACACCTAAAACCATGCGCTATGAAAGCTAAGTCTGTACAGTGTTCAATATATAAGTTTCAAATGTATAGTAAAGCCCAGACAGAACTTAAAAAAGAAACAAGCAAAGGGAAGCGTAATAGAGTGTAAGAAATGAATGAGAAAGGGTAATAGAGGGGATGACTTTGATTATTTGCATAGAAATATAACAATGGAATACCATTGCATAATTTTTATAGAATAATAAAAGGTAAAGGCATGCAGATACAAATGAGAGGGTAACAACAATGTACACAAAACATGGACGTTCTAAGACTTTCCCATGACTTAAAAAAGAAAAGTTAAATATAAATTTATTCTGTCATCTACAATATTCTAGACCAAACAATAAATAAATATTTAAACTCTTCCACTGCTTTGGAAATTTCACGATCACCATTTTATTTTAGAGATTGTAAAAATGCTGTATTTAGTTTTACACAAGTTAAAGTAGTGTGGAGTTGAACAGAGCCTGGGGTTGGATGGGGAAGGAGGAGTGGGGCAAGTTGGCTGGTGGGTACTAAGTTCTAGTTAGTTAGATATAAGAAGGCCTACTCTGGTCTGCTATTGCACTGTAGGGCAGACTATAGAAAATGATATTATATTGTGATTTTAAAAATAAAATGTCCAAGAGAGGATTTTGGGCACATTCAGCATAAAAAATGATAAATGGTTGAGGAGGCAAGTTTACCTTTATTTTAACATTACACAATTCATACATCCCTGAATGAAACATCACAGGGTACCTTATTAAATATGCATAATTATTAATATCAGGTGAAAGTAAAAAGAAAGAGAGAAAGATAAATCGGTATCCCCACAAGAAATGCTATGTCACTTCACAAGATGGCGATTAATCAGTGTCAAATAAATTACATTACTTGGATATGATTTTAGGATAAGACTACACAACAATGCTTTTTACACTTTATTATCCTATATTTTAATCATATTTCACTCATGTATTGTTTCAGTTTAATTCAATCTACAGACTAATAGGGGAACAACGCTAAAAACAAATATGATACTAGTAGGATGCAATGCAAACATTTCAAAACCATCCATCCATTAATTATTCTTTTTATTAATTATAACATTTATATGAAGTATTTTCACATATGAAAAATACTACATAAACTTAATATATATGAATCAATGAATAAATGTAAACTTTTAAATTATGATTATGGAAATAATAGTAATTATAATATGTGGACTTACTATGTACTAAAGCACTTTGCATTTTTATCTCTTGTGACCTTATAATAATTAATTCCTAAAACATATAAGCTCTATCTAAAGTACAGTTTTTAAACTAAAAAAATGAAAAATTTATTTTTTAATTTTCTAGAATTAGATATTATTTGGTGATGGTTAAAATGTTACTTGCAAAAATGCATTCATATTATACAAAGGAAGAGCATTATTTCCTACTTAGATCAAGATTAAAAATTATACTTACATTTACTACCTGTATAAAAAGTGAATAAAAGGAGAAATAAGATTTTTTTTAGGTAATTCACTTTATTTGAAACAGAAGCTAGGTACGTTCTCAAATATATTCTATCGTCAGAGCTAATAATGTTTTTTACATACTAACAGTTCTTCTCCCTGAGGATCAACTCCTTTCCCATGTAGCCTTCTAATTGAAATACACTATTTTCCCTGTCACTTAAGAAGTTTGGTTCAAACACCAAAAAACATTGTGGCCAATCTATTTTTCTTTAAATTCTCAACATCATTGTGATGAGATGAGAAGGAGAATTAATGGGTAACCTCATCCATTCCTTTTTAGTTGTAGAACTGGAAATGATGGGTATAACTTAGAGGCACTATTCATTTAAAATATAGTCACAACTGTTCACCAAGCTGGAAGATATGTTAGAATATCAATTTCTAGTTCAACTGCTGTGAGACCAGGTAAGACTAATTCTAGTTTTCATGGCTCTCAATTGCCAAAAACTAAAATTCCAAGCAGTAATTGTATTAAGTACAAAAAAAACAATCAGTGAAGCTTGGTGGTATACTCTCTCATTGGAATGACTACAAAATCATAGAATACATATCTATTATTACAAAATAATTACATGCATATAAACAAACACAGGTAGACAGAGTCTCACAAATAATAGAGAAGATATCTGCTCTAGATTAAGATGCAGTAATATATTTATACAAGTTAAAAGATTATTGAAACATAGAAAATCATATTTATTCATCAAATTTGAGTGATATTATTTTATGTTAAATTTTGTTTCATCATACTTCTAGGTACTGAAATACAAGTGTAGCACTGTCTTATTCTTGGTTTAATTTGAATTTTATTAATTTGTAAACATTTTAGTCAACTTTCATGTGATTATTTGACTTCCCCATATCGCGTTAGGTAGAGTATTCATTTAGTACTATATTGCTGTTGGTTTTTTCTTTGTTTATTTATCCATTTGGAACAGGGATTGAATATAGCCTTGCTTTTCTCCACCTTGTGATGCCCCTGACTCAGCCTCTTGATTGCTCAGATTATAAGTACTGGTCTCCACACTCAGCTTATTTACCTTTTTTTTTTATTTCCATTCCATAAATTGACTTTTCTCTTAATGTTCAGTTTTGGAAAATTTTTCTATATTGTGCACATTTCATTTCATACACAACTCATTTGGTAGAGTTTCCCCAGTCTGTATCCTTATTCTCTTCACAATGTTATCAAACTATTTCAATTTTGATGAAGTCTAATTTATAAATATTTTATTTTGTAGCTAGTTCCTCAGGTAAAATATTTTGAGAATCTTGTCTAGTCCAAGTCACAAAGACTTACTCCCATATTTTCCTTTAATAATTCCACAGTGAAGACATTTAAATCAATATATTGTTAATTTTGGAATTATTTATGTGTATTACTTAATCTTTAGATTAATTGTGTGTGTGCGTATTTGAGTTCTGACATGTCTAAAAGGTCTAGGGCTTCCTACCTCAATGTATTCCTGTATCCTGGGTAGAGTTCTATCTAGCTGTAATAATGCAGGATACTGAGATCTGCTTGTTTCTGCCAGAGTTTACTTAAAAGGGCAGACGTTTACAGTTGCGAGGGCAGACAAAGTGATCAAAGATCATTCTGTGTCCCATGATAGAGCAATATGTAATTCTGGAAGGTGAGATGTTGTCCCAATAATCAGGTTTTGTGCAGTGTTACAAAAATTCTATGTGTGAAGGGAGCGGTGGGACAGGGTGCTGGAAGATTGGAATGTTCATAGTTTTTGTTTTCCTAAGGAAACTGATATAATTTGATTGAGAACATGGAGAATACCATATCATTGTTTGCTGCCAATAGCAATCTGATCTTGATGGAGATTAATTATTGTGTGTCCAATAAAAAGTTTAAAAAATATGTGATCAGAGCTCTAAAGAAAAACTATCAATAATTCAACATGTAAAAGCAATCCAAAGTTCAAAAGAATAGCACACAAAACACCTTCAAGAAATGCTTTTTTGAGACTAAAATCAATCCTGAGGTTTACAATTCTGTACCCATTGAGGAATAATCAGATCAGATATAGAGTATATTTGAATGCACCCTCCAAGGTGGCCATGAATAAATCAACATTGCAAAGAATATCTCTGATTTGGTGGCCTAAGACCTACTGACACATGGAGCTTAATAGGGCCTATCACAAAGTAATCACTTGCTGTCTGGAAGACTATTTGCCCATACTGCTCAAGAATGCTCATAGAGAGATGACTGATCATAAAATTTCTTGCTTGAAATGAGCCAAAAACGTAACATCAATGTTCTGTGATGGCACTCTCTAAGCCACATACATTTTTAATCATAATTTTTAAAATCCTGATTTAGCGGATGATACAGAATTTTGGCTATGTAACTATTTCCCAGGGATTATTTCTTACATAGTCAGGCTTATTGATAAAAACATAGGCTGCAC